GGACTTGCTGTTCTCGAGCTCCACTCAGGCGTCGGAGAATTACAAAACCTAGGTTCTTGGACACTATGTTCGTCAGGCTAATTCTTGTGTGCTTACCACAGGAAGACTTCTCGTCTTTCTTGAAGACTAGGATAATCAGTGATTTAGGCCAGTCAGAGGGGATAGTATTTGATTCCCATATACTGGTTAACACTTTCGTTAACCTGACTAAGAGCATCTTACCTCTATCCTTGTATACGTAAGGAGTTAGTCCGTCTGGTCCTGCCGCCCTTCCACATTTCAAGTTACCTACAGGTTTCTGGACTTCTCCTAGTGTTGGGGAGCATTTCTCGATGTTCCATTCAGGATCTGACTGGATAGCAGGCAACGCAATGGTGGCAGGAGGCCAGTTGAACTGCTCCTCGAAGTGTTCTGCCCATCGTTCCAGTCGTCTCCTCTGCGAGTGAATCGCAGACCCGTACTTCTCCGCTATGGCCTCACTAACTGTTGTTGACCTTTCCCCCAGTCTCCTTAATAGGTCTAAATAACTGTTTACTGTTACCAATCGCCGCTGTGTTTTCCACCTCTTTAGACTTCGCTAGCAATCACTGTTCGTGGTCGTTGCTTAGACTTTTTCTCAATCTACTTTTCAGTTGCGCTCGCTCTTCATTGTACTCAGAGCCTGCAAGCAGGGATGCGTTCACGTGCATCCATTAGTTCAGAAGAAACTGCTGATATCCACTGGCACTTTTTAGCCACTCTTTCAGAGTCGGCTACGGTCTTCAGAGCTTCTTTTACAACAGACTGGAGATGGCACTAAGCTTCTTCTGGATGACTGATAGTCTTCTGTTCCAATAAGTCCCTAGCCAACTTCTCACCGAACAAGGCTTTGGTGTTTTCGTTGTCCAGCAGCACTCGTACTGGTTGTGTTGCCAAATTTTTCCTACGTCCATTGAGACCCAGGCATATACGTACTCGGACCAACAAGTGGTCAATATCCAAACACTTACTCCAGAAGGAGCGGCAGTCTTCCACCGATCCTCTCCAACAATGACTGATAGCAATATGGTCTTTCTGTGTCTATCGCTGAGTTAGTTGAGCTCGGTGGACGCCAGGTCAGACAGTGTCCTTCTTTATGTCTGAAATTCGTGCTGGCTAAAAATAGGCGGTTATCTGAGCATAGTTGTAGTAGACGATCACCGTTATCTGTTCGTTCAGCCGGGATTCCGAAAGTGCCACCTAAGTGCCTTTCTGCCTCACTCAGTCTAAACACCTGTGTATTGAAGTCACCTGCAACAACCAGGTGGGTCTGAACATTTGGCTCTCGAAAGGAGGCTAGACAGTTTTTGGTAGAACTCGTCCTTCACTTCATCCGAACTGCAGTCAGTGGGTGCGTAAGCAGAGATTACAAAGAGACAATGGCGAGTCTCACTATTCCTTTTAGTTCTCAACGTGCCGTTCAGCCGGACAGCCCAGGTGCGACTATCAATTGTGATCCAGTCAAGTAGTGAGTTTTCTGCCCCAATACTTAGTGCTATACCTACACCTGCAAGACCGCGAAAGCTAGCCATCGAATCGCCAGAAACTCGAAGGGTGAATTTTGCAGATTCACCAGATTGGTCAGGAGAGGTCAGGTGAATAATCACACTTGGGTCCTGTATGCGTGTCACACAAACACAGCACACATCCATGGCCCGAGTTACTAGAGTCTTAGGCAACGAAGACTGTTCACCAATTTGATGGAAGGTGTGGACATTGAAGGCTCCAATATGTAATTTGGAGCGTGGTTTAAGGAGACCAAGGATACTGTTCTGTGAACCCAGATCATTGTCGAAGGCTGTAGAGTTAGGAGAAATTGAAGATGATGTGGTATCGTTAGTTGAGAGACATGAAGGATGATTAGAAGGTAATGACGGGGTGATGAGGTGGATAGCAGTCTGAGAAAACTTAAGTGCTGATAGAGTTGCCAGGGTGGTTGACACTTTCCAGCTGCCCACGCCGTGGAAGGCTATTTCTTCTTAAGGTACCTGAAAGAGATTTATGTGACCACAGAGACCATCAGACATCTGCTTGAGGCCTGTCACACGAAGCATTTTGTGTATGCTTGTTATGAGCTTTTGTTGTTTTGGACCGGATGATCGAAAATAAACGACAAATGAACCAACACCGCAGACCTGGCAGACCGTGGGGTATGGTGGAGTGTGTTATTTTGGGGGCCGACCTTTTCTACCCCCCCCTTCCACTGAGAAGGCAGCACCAACATGGCACTGCTGGTCATCCAAGGGAAACACCTTACTGGTGTCACACCCCATCCAGCTAGCAGCAGTACGAATTCGCCCTCAGGCCCCCATTATAGTGTAGTAACTTACACCACGACGGTAACTGCTTTTCGTCTAACCAGTATCCAAAAGGCCTTTCTGATATGGTAGGACCTCGAGGGAACAAGAGTTCGACCACAATAGCTCGTTGGGTCATTGTGATATGCAAGCCCGACCATCAAGTCAAGGTAGCAAATATCGGTCGGGGCTAGTTGATTCAATAGGTGTATCACACAGCAGGACAGCATTATTTACTGGATTACGTTTAGGGCACAATTTGTTTATGTGAAGCCACACTACTTCGCAGTTAGATGCTCTTGCTATAAGTCTTCTGACAAGAGAAGAATGAAGACTAGAGTAAAAAAACCCACTAGTGGACGTGGTGTTGCTTCAAGAAAAGCTTCTGACAAGGTAGCTAATATCTGCTCGCTAAGGAAGCTTGACTGTTTTGCGCAAACCACATGCAAAGCTAGATAAACGTCACACATGCACAAGAATTCACTGTAAATGAGATACTATTAGTAGGGTTCTTCAGGGCACTAGACTAAGGCGTCTTTTCACATTCTAATAAGCTAACTGCTCAAGTAATCGCCCTTACTGTTTGCAAAGGAAGTTTGGAAGGCTTTGTATGATGACGAGGAGAGAGTAGCATTTCAAGATGACCCCAAGAATTGTCCAAGTTTTCTAGACGTCGTGCTGAACATTATTCATACAGGCTTTAATGAGAACTTTAATTTCAGATGTAACTTTTGCATTCCTAAAGCTATTGTCGCTTCCGAAGCTGTCACAGCATTTTGACGAGGACATATTCATAAATC